GCTCTCGGGCCCGCTGGAGGTCCATCCTAGACCCATGGTACCGCGCAGCTATTATGGAGATCTGTTGGGTAGCCTGCAAAGGAGGGAAAAAGGCATATCACAAAAATGGAAAGCGAGAGAGAAGAAACCAAAGCAAAAATGAACTTACCACCAGGGAATTCTGGATGATAGAGCGGAACAACACGTTCGTTGATCGCCCCCTGTGAGCCGCCATGTCAGCCTCGAAATGCAGTGTCTCACTCACTGCATTGGCGACATGAGGATCCAGCAAAATGGAATCATCGACCCTGATCACTCGGTTCATGTGATCGGTGGCTCGGGGATTCCACTCCGCGGCTTCCACTGTCGGCGGAGGGGAAGGGGGAGTCTGCTGCTGCCGTTGTTGCTGTTGTAGTTGCTGTTGCTGTTGCTGCTGTTGCGGAGGAGCAGGGGGTAACCCACGGCCTCTCCCGCTTTGCTGCTGAGCGGAAGATGCCCTGAATCCTCTGCCGAGGCCATCGTGCCTATGCTTGACCCTTCTCTCCTCCTCTACCTGAGGATCCCGGTCACGCACTTGACCCCGACTGAGAACTCTTGAGGATGGGGTGGAACTGGTCCCTGCAGATGGGGCACCGCCGGTCGATCCTCGACCCCTCCCGGCAGCAAGAGCTTGCCTCTGCCTCAGGAACCCCAGGTCAATACGAGGCGTGCTGGACATCGCGACCTCGAGGGCGTCCTCGGCGTCTAGAGATTGTAGAACTTGGAAGTCCGGCCACAAATCTCCTCCCGAAGTCCCCACCTCGGCGTCTGAAGGAACAAGGTCCTCTCTGACCCCGAGCTCTTCAACTACTCCCTCTACTTCTGCCTCCGAAGCCCGATCAGGGTCTTCTTCCAAGTTTTCCTCAACCTCTTGCCTCGCCGCCTGATCGAAGAGTTCAGACCACCACGAAGGCTCAAAAGGCTGAGGAAGCTGTGAAAATTTCTTATACCCGGGGGTGTAATTCAGCAGGATGTGGGCAGCCCTGCCGAACCCGTTGTCACCAGTAAATCTCCAAACCGCGATTAGGTCGGCAAAGTTCACCAGCGACCGAGGGGGAGGAGCTGTTTCCCGAGCAGGGATATCTGCACAAACAAAAAAAGTAGTCATGAACATGGAAAATCTGGAGAACAAAATAATAAACCCGAAGGAACCGACGTACTTGTCGTTCTCCATTCCAGAGGGCATAACAAGCCGTTATACTCGGGACCAACACCTCTCTGCCAAGATCCATTGAAAATAAGAATATCGTCCTTGTACCCCTTGTCCGAGTCGGGAAGATGAGTTACAAGGTACATGGAGGGGTCCCTGGCCTTGAGGTAGAAGTGTTGGTGAGGCATGACTCTCAAGAGGGAATAACAAAAAAGGAGATCATTCAGCCCAATATTTACTCCGAGGCGCCTATTGAGCTCTAAGACCCCCATAATTATTCTGAAGACATTAAGGCAACACTGCCCGGGGAAGAGGCGGAAGTGAGAGAGGAACTGTAGAAGTAAAGGGGGTAAATGAAACCTAATTCCGCCCTCTATTATGGCCTTGGTATAAAAGGGCGTAGCATCCTCGGCCCCGAGGGTAGGAGTGTGCACCACCGAGTCATAATGCTCTATGTCTACGCACGGGAGAATGTCGTACTTGACCTTAAACCTATTAATCTGCTCACCACCCTTTACTTTATACTTCCCTGACCCCGAAGAACCAGCCTGAGGATTCTCGGGAGCAAGGCGACGACGAGGCATCTCTAAGAAAGTGAGAAAGTGGAGGGTATTTTTGCTTAAAAATCCCTGAGGAAGCTTCCCTAGGATTAGTCGCTAAGTATCAACCGGAGACACCTCCAGTCATCGGAAAATAAAAAGGGATAGGAGGAAGAAAAGAAGAAAGAAACTAGGACTCACCCGAATGCCAAACGGAGTTTTTTCTGGAAAACTTTAGGCGACTCCTTCCAGAAAGTTCAGAAGCAACGATGGGTCTGCTGGCCTTAAGACTTTAAGGAAGAATGGGTAGTCGACGATGGAAGAGGAAAGAGATCTCAGGCGAAGATTCAGGAAAAGGCTCTCTTGAGGAAGTTCGGAATGGCGAAACAAGAAAATGCAAGAGGAACCCCATTTATATAGTGACAGTTTCATCATTGGGCGCGAAAAACGAAAATGACGCATTTAATGCACACGACATCCTAAGCCTGGGAAAGCGGCTCGAGGCAATGATGAAGCATTTGTGGTTGTTGGGAAACCCTTCGTCTCCTTACGACGCGTGCCCTCGGTGTCAGAAGATCGAAGGCTGGGGGGCAGTTGATGGGACTTTTCTGAAATACTCCATGATGAAAACACGTGTCCTCGGTATTTACCAAAACACTGTTGCTAAGATCAAGCACCATCGGCGCACAAAGGTCCTCGCCCCCGAGGTACTCGTTATATAGGATCATAGCATTCAGTACGAGTTACAACCAACACGTAGCCTCGGTCTGATATGATACCTCGGTCGGTATACCTCCCTCGGTTCCGAGATGGCTTTTCCTCGGTGCCGAAAGGTACCCCGTCCTGGACGCTTCCTCTATTCCAGGATAAGCTATTGACGTACAGGTCATTAGCCTAGGCTAGTCTAGGCTATTCATCATGACCTCGTCTTACACAATTAGTGTCAGAACGTACTGGAATGCAGGGGTCACAGCCAATGGGGGATGGACGCGTGACATATGATATCACATCGAAGACAGAGAAACCGCATGCCGTTGCTGACACGCGACTTGGGAAAGCAAACGATTAATTACATCATTCCCTTGACAAGACCGCATTCAATGCGGTAAGACTCAGAAATGAAAGACAATAAATGCTCTTAATACAGAGCATTTATTGCATCCTCCCCGAGAGGAGTACATTGTACCGTCGGCATCCCGATGACACAGCATTGATTGCTCGGGACCCCGAGCAGTTAAGAAGAGAAGACATTCCTCATCAGAATCAGTGCGCACACTGCCTGTACCTAATGATCACATACTGACTACACTGACAGCAATTATGAGCTTTTGAGGTATAAATACTCCTTGCAAAAGGCAAGACGGGTATGCAACAACAAACTCTTTACGACAATACACACTCAGTGTTTTCTCTTTCCTCTCTCTTTCTCAAAGACTGACTAGATCGTCGGAAGGGATATGCCGAAAAACACTCCGGCGCCCTTCTAACTTGTTCTCTTTCGTTCCAGGAATCTCTTTCAGCCTTACTGGATCGTTCTTCCGCTCCCCCAGGATCTCCCGTTGCCGTTCCAGGTTACCACCGGACCTCGCAGGCTGTTTCAAGCAGCGTGGTTGGTCACTCAACTGGCTCACTCAAGTTCACCAAGGGAGAGATCTGTTCTCGTTTTTTATATTGTACAGGATCTTGCACGCACATCTACATTGTGAAGAGAATAAAATTGTGGTCCACCAGTACACTGCATCATCAAGCTGACCCATCAATAATCACGAAAGTTGATGTCAATTACCTACCGCACCATGAAAATAGACCCACAAAATTGCCATAGAAATCTTTTACTTTTACTTTTGCTCTTCAACCTTGTGTTTCAATGTGAACGCTTTAACAAAGTTAAAGCGTCCCTGAGTATTCCTTGCCATGCTGGTCTTTTCCATTATAGGGGGAGAAAATTGTGCCTCGTTCTCGGACTTGTCACAGTAATTAATCACTAAAGTCGAATGAGCAGTTGACAAAAATCTGGACACTTTATAATTTATATATATACACCACCTCGTCATCGTTAAATATTAAAAAAATAAAGTACATTTATTTTTTTTATAAAAAATTATGTGAAACAACATTTTACTTAATTAAATCAATAAACAAGAAAGTAACAAAAAAAAATAGATATTTGCTATTACAATACCAGTTAAATGATATGTATTTGATACCAACTTAATTTCTTTTTCTTTTTATTTTTATTTTTATAAATTTATTGTGTCATTTTCAAGTTCGTCTCATATTATAGCATCTTGATGAAAATTTACAAGCCTATTCTAACGGCCCAAAAATAAAAAATGTTAGTAGCATGTCAAATTATATCACAAAGCTAATTTTATTAAATATTTTTTCCGCAATAATGTTAATTGAATCTAAAAACGTGATTTAATATGCTCCTTTAATAATATCACAAAGTGACAATAACATGATTGAATAACATTATTACAACTATAACAGTTGGATTTTTCATTGAGAGTTAATCACTTGAAATATCATTATATCAATAAATTAGAATAATTTTTTACATCCCAATAATAATATTCTTTTTTTCCGATGTCCACAAAAAGAAAAAAGGATCTCATTTAGGAAAAATAAATGTTGGGAATGGGAGAGGGGTCTCCTCTTTGTTGACAAAAGAGAGAAAATCTCTCCAAATTAAGGTAGCTCTCACTAATTCTGTCAACTCCACAGCCAGCTCCATAGCTGTGAAAGCTGCCAAAGCTTCCATGGACTCTGCTTGCACCAAAACCTCTTATTAACTGAGACAGACCCTCCACAAAAGTCCCATTGCAATCTCTGATAGCCACATCAATTCCAGTCGCCTTAGCTGATTTGAAAGTTGCTCCATCAAAGTTTATTTTGAAGACTCCCGGTTGGTTGTCCATCGTTGTAAAGTAGTCCCTATGAAGCTTTTGGGAAGAATGATAGTCTTATGTGTAAGCATAGCATTTTTGTTTGAACCCGCCCAACCCAACTAAGACTCACCGAACTTGAGAGACACATCTTTTACCTTTTTGGAGGGTACTTTGAGTAGTGGATAACCTCGACTAGCATACTCTGGTCGTGCACCTAAGTGTGTGTAGGGGTTGTGTTCAAGACATAACCTGCATAATTTGCTTTTGGACATGACAAAAGTAACGAGATGCGAAACCCACAAACTGATTTGGAGAATGAGCAAGTTGCTCCAATAAAGCTCTATATCTATGGTATCAGAAAACCAGATTGAACATGCCAAAAATAGCACCATGCCTACCTGTTCAGAGGGCAACCTTTCGAAAACTTCCATCATTCAATTCTGGAAGAGATGAGTTGAATCCAGATGCAATGTGATCCCCAATGCTTCCCACCCCTGCCATGAAAAGGGGCAATTTGTAAACCCATAACACAAAAATACTACTCTACATAGAGCTGACTGCTTTAGATAAATTCATTTATGCTCGACACCGAATGAGAACTACGACTATGGGAAGGAGTGAGAGACAATGATGCAGGATCTCACAATGATATGATCCGATCAGATTTAAGAAGCACTAACACTTCATTTTGGTAGGAGTGAGAGATAATGATGCAGATCCCACAATGACATGATTCCATCAGACCCAGAAAGCAGAGACATTTCATTTTGGCCCGAGTATCAGTGTCAGACACGTTCGACACATGTCGGACACGCTAAAATGAATATCTAATTTTTTTATTGTTAAATTTCTTTTCAAACACGACGGGGACACGTGGCCGACATGCTCAGAACACATTGGGACACATTTTGAATTTTTTTTTTTTCAAAATTTTGATCATTTTTTAGATTACTTTTTAATTATGAATTATTTTTATAATTTTAAAAAAATATGAGTCAAAGTCATAATATAAAAGGAGTTATAATCACTACATTGAACATAAGAGATAAATGTAACATAATTTTGAATACGAATACGAATTTTATATGCAAATGGAATAAACTTTTATTATAAAAGTAATATGAAAAAAAAATGAGGTTACAAAATTAAGACTCTTTGAAATTGATGAAAATTTGTGTTACGAAATAAAATATTTTTGAAAATAAAAATTATAATAGTCATTGATTGTTGGATCATAGATGTTAATGTTGAATGTGTATCGTTTTATCTTATATTGTATTTTTTATGTAGGAAAAGAATGAATTAAAATATTGTTATGATAATATTTGTATTTTATCACATGATTATTCATATATATATATATATATATATATATATATATACATATTATTTAACGTATCTCCAACTCATCCGTGTCCTATTTTTTTGAAAAATTTCATATCAAAGTGTGTCCGTGTCCTATCGTTTACTATTAACGACGTTGAAAGTTCAGTCGGAAAAATTACCGGCGTATAATTAAACGTCACAAAAATTAAAATAACGTTTACTAAGCATTTAAGCGCCGTTTATTTAATCGACGACTTCCTTGTAAAATTTCGATCAATTCGCCAGTAATTATTTTTTCAGGTTTTCTAGTTTTCGGCGTTTAAATAAACGCCGGTAATAATAATTAATATTTCTTTTTTCATAATAAAACTAGCTCATTACATTTTCACTAGAATGATACTTTTAAATATTCAGGATTCTCCACCAGATGAAATATTGATAGTCAAGCTACTAACAATGCCTTATATATATATATATATATGAACAAAACAGCATTACAAGAAGCAAAAAGGAAAACCACATAAGGCCTCCTATTCCAAAAACAAAAACAAATAGAAAACCAAATCAAAAGATTACAGGCCAGCTCCCAAAAACAGTCAGCAGAAACATCACTCTTACAGCCACCTCCAACCAATAACAGCAGTAAAACAGGCCACCAACAGCTTTCACTGCAACAATTTGAACTGACCTCAACTTCCAGCCAATAAAAATGACCTGTTTCAAACAAATCAACACTAAAAACTACAGGCACAAGCTCAGCATCCAAGCAACCACAATTACCCTTGATCATTATAAACCAAAACTCTCCTCTTTCTTAGGACAGGTAAATTTTTTGTGGTTCTTGTAATTCTTTTGATTAGAAATTAATAAATTTATAGGCAAATCCAACAAAGAAGCCGTCCAAGTTGTGTTTTTTTTTTGCACTTGTTGTGTTTCTAAAATGTTGACTTGTACATGTCAACCAGTTTCCTAGGGGTTGACGGGCAGGCCTCTCTCTCTCTCTCTCTCTCTCTCTAATGCTGTCTGTAGTTGGTTAAAATTACATAGTATCCATGAAGCAATTCTTACAATTATAAAGTTTATCCCATTTTCTTCACTTTCAAAGCTCCCACCCATGAACAGTTTTCCAAATGATGATATGAAGATCCTGTCATATAGAGTTCTGTCCAACTCGAATTCATGTAGTGTAATCTACCATTAAGAGAATAGTATACTGTCTGTGATCAAAATGTGACATATCAAAACAATAACTTAGAATATCAAAAAACCATAAGAAAAATATATTAGTGTCTTTCCTTCGAATTCCATATATATGTGTGTATTTTTTTTTTTTTAGCAGTCAATTGTTAGGCTTCTCAAAGGGAACAGAACACAAATCCAATTTCAGCACTAAGATTACCTAGGGGAACAAATCCATGACAATTGCTTCTTCAAATCTCAGTGGAGGTTATTCACTACCTAGATTGTTTATTTACTAACAACATTAAATAATTGTCCCATAAATTCTTCCCTCCAACATATTTTTTGCGCCAAAAAATTTACGTCCCCAAATTAGTTATTAGATAATTAGCAACAATTTAAATTTTCTCACTAATACCACCTTGGTTCATAAAAATAGTGACTAGTGGACAAGTCGTGACTAAAGAGTTATCATTTGATTGATTATTTAGTGATGACATTAAATTAATTGTCATTAAAGTACTTCCCTCCATATTTTTTGGCACCAAATTTCTCCCGCCTCAAATTTAGTGACAAACCTAATGTTGTCGGTAGTAACACTCTATTTTATGAAACAAGTGGCAATTTTTTTAGCTTGCCACTAACTATTTTGGGTTAGTGACCAATATTTATTTTCACCAATAAACATTAGGTTTTTGTGACAATATAAATTTTGTTACTAATACTTTTGCCACTAACAAGCTTATTTCGTGTAGTGTGCATCTTCCATATAAAGAAACAGATCTATCGAAAAATGATTTTCATGAAAATTAAATCAAAATATTATTCAAACTAAAAAAATAAAAAAAAAAGCCTCTCTTTTCACACAAATGCACCGTAAAAATCATATGGAACAATAATTTAACATAAAAATTTAAAGTTTCTCCGAAATAACATACGAAACTACCTAGATCAATCAAAAATGTTCAAATCAGCCCACAAAGATCAATCAAACAAGCTATTTCTATCTTTGAGGGTGTAAATGGAGATTTTTGATCTTTGAGATTGAACATTAATACAACTTTCTATCTTTAAGGGTATAAATTAAAATTTTTAATCTTTGAGAGTAAAAATTGAAATTCAAACTATGCAATTTTTTTAAGATGTGAAAAAAAAAATAGAGTAAATCAGTGGCCTTAGACGCAAATGCCGGCTCTATTTAATTTTCTTGTAGTGATCCGTGCTTGTGTCTGTGCCTCTTAGCATCAAATAAATCTACGTGGCCAACAAGCATGATTCGTGCAATATCTTAGAATTAAGCTACTAAATTCTCTTGCTGGCAATCATATGATTTTCCATTAATGAAGGTTTTAAAACCAAAACAAAGAGAGAAAATGGATATATATATATATATATGCATGAATGATTGAAGAGTTTTGAAAAAACTACCTCACATATCATCTGTGGAAGGCCCTTTCTTTGAATCCCGACACTCCTTCTTATATGGAGGGTAGACAAGGATATTGAGTGAATCATTTCCCATGTTGAATTGCTCTTCTTGAATTTGCCTGGCCGAAATTGCAGCAGACCGACTTGAACGATACACCTCAATCATCTGTAGCGTTGGTATATCACCTAAGCTAGAGGGTATCTCCTCAAGATCATAGCATTTATCCAACACTAATCGCTCCAGAGTGGGAAAATGACTACTGGAGGTGACCCATTGTTGAAGATCCATCTCTGAAAGTTTCAAGAATTTGAGTCGACGGAACTCCCCATCACTGGTCTCCCACAGTGGCCCTTTGAAGGAATCACGGCCTAATTTCAGCACCTCGAGGTTAGGTAACTTCCCAATGTTTGAGATTTGCTTCCAACAAATATTGCAACCTGTTATAGATAGCTTCTTCAGATTTGGAGGAAATTTACTTGGTTGGGGAACGGTTGGTGGTGCTGCAAACCCAGCAGTGTCTTCCAACTTCAATGTTTCAAGGTGAACTAAATTGGCGAGATCAGGGAGACAAAAACTCTGGCAGTCAGGACTTCGATAATATGGTGCACCTTGAAGTAAATTGGCTAGAGAAGAGTTCCACGTATTCCGCCAGTGGGGTGTTCGTCGATAATAATCTGATGCCAAAGAGATAAAGTAGGAAATCTCGGCTAGATCAGGAAAGATGGGTTTTCCCCCGTCGGATGGACCTCGATCGAATGACAACTTCCTAAGATTGGGAACCCTTTCCAAGACATCTTCAGCATCCTTCATTGAATCAGAAAGTCGTAATGCGTGAATACTTTGCAAGGCATTCAATACAGGGGGATAGACATAATTGGAACAAGGTTTTTCGAATTCTATCTCTGAAATACTTATATGCCTCAACTTCACCATACTCCAAAGAGTATGCGGTATAGTGACTCTCCCATACTCCTCTTTCAAAATAACTAGGGTTTCTAAGTTCCGTAAATTGGATACTTTTAAAGGCAGCCTGTCAAGGAGGCGAACCCGAAGTTCCAAACACCTCAAATGGACTAGCACCAATATTTCAACTGGAAAGCTTTCCAGATAAACACGCCATAAACTTAACACTCTAAGAAGCTTATAAATATATGCTGTGGTAGTCACCTTAGGACCTAAAAACCCTTCTAAGAAACATGAGAAGAGAGAGCGGACTGTTGGAGCACAATGCTGCCCAAAACTGTTATGCAAACCATGAGAATGAAAGCACAAGTGGCAGTCATTATGTGAGATAGCACAACGAAACGAAGTAACTCGTCCATGCCAGTCAATCTGCTGCAGCCATTTCTTTTCCTCGGCTTTTTTCAAGCATAGATCATGCAAGGTATCATGGATGCGACATGACTTGATTCCACCTTTAGAACTTTTCTTGGCAACTATTACCAAACTTCTATCTATTAGATCCATCAAGTAATCCATCGCTACATCCTCCAAGCTTCTTTGCTCCATTTCCTTCACAAATCCTTGAGCAATCCACAACAATATCAACCTCGGGACAGGGATTTCAAAGTCTTCATGAAATGTTCCAAAATAGAGAAAGCATGACTTCAAGCATTGAGGTAAGTGCTCGTAGCTCATTGCTAGTATGTTCATAAGTCCATATTCACGATTGACATATGAAGCTAAATTTCTGGCAACTGACTTCCACCAGTCCGGTGTTTTATGTGTCTTTGCAAGAAGTCCAGCTACAACAACAATTGCAAGGGGTAATCCTTGACATTTTGCAGCGATTTGCTTTCCAATTTCCAGCAACTCCGAAGGGCAGTTTTTTTCTCGAAATACCGTCCGTTCCAATAGATCCCAACTCCCATCTTCAGTCAAAAATTGTAGAAAAAGAGGAGTGCTATCAGGTTTAATTTGCCAAGCCAATTTACCATTCCGGGTCGTGATCATAATTCTACTTCCATTATTGTCGTTTGGAAAAGATCTTCTTAAATCATTCCAAGCTTCAATATTCCACATGTCATCTAGGACAATAAGGTATCTCTTACCCTTTAAGCGTCTATATAGCTCTTCTCCTAATCCTTCTTCACTCATTTTTAAAATTTCATCTTTACTGTCGACAACATAACTTAGAATATCAAGCAACATATCCTTCTTATGATGCACTTGTGCCTCATATGTCCATCCACGAACATAGAAATGATATGTGATCAAAGGATGATTGTAAAGTTTGTGAGCCAAAGTTGTCTTACCGATTCCGGCCATCCCCACAATCGAGATAACTTCCAGTTGCTTCTGATCTCCGGCAAGTCTCTCCAACATCGCCGTTATCTCATTGTCAAAGCCCACCACAATTTCATCTTCCGCTACTGTATTGGTTGTACTCCCTCTATAAAAACTTTCAGTGGTGGAGATTACTCCTAGTTGCGAGACTCCAACCCCATACAACTTCTTCATATAAATCACCATCACCTCTTTCTTGATAGACTTGATCTCTTCTCTGAAATTTCTAAGCTTTGGGAAATGGTCAAAAACACCATTAGTTTGCCCAGAAATGGTTTTATACTCCCCATTGATGACACTGAGAGCAAAATAATCCAGGTAATTTAATGCATCGCAAGCTGTATCTTTAATTCTTGCCACTAAATTTGCCAATACCTCATGCTGATTGCAACTCTGCAAATCACAGAGGAAACTCCTTATGAACTCGAGCTCTTCATAAAGGGTTTCGATTGCATCCTTTTCAGCAAGAACGCTATTAGAGCTATGGTCGAGTAGCTGCTTCAGGTCCTCCAACAGAAATTCAACAACAGTTTGAGCCATCTTCTCTACTCGCAAGCTCTCTAACTGGTTGTTTTTTTTTGCGCAAGAGAAAAACTTTCCTTGATAGTTAGACTTACCCAATGACTGCAACAGTAATCTACATTGTGAAGAGAATAAAATTGTGGTCCACCAGTACACTGCATCATCAAGCTGACCCGTCAATAATCATGAAAGTTGATGTCAATTACCTACCGCACCATGAAAATAGACCCACAAAATTGCCATAGAAATCTCCTATTTTATCTCTTCCAGCGTTAAGTTATTCCAAAAGAGGTGGGAAGAGAAGTGAAAGTGAAATCAAAAGTTAAAGGGAGTTTTCTTGACGGAAAGCTGCATTCTTTGTCCTTCCCAGAATCATCCCTGGCAGACTAGAATTTACATATGAATACTTTAATTTCGGGTGAATCAAATTAAGTTACGGATAAATTGGTTCGAATATATTTTATTGTTAAAAAAGATAAAAAATAATAACTTATAAAAATATATAATGGAATTATTTTTTTTTTTTTGGTCGGTATGAAATTGAACTTGTTAAGAAATACAAGAGAAATGTTAAAATTAAAATTTTATTTTAGTGCATTATTTCGGTCACTTAATAAACGAAAATATTTCGACGTATTTCGGAAAAGATTACAGAAACAAATTAAAAAAAAATAAAAATTTAATTTTCAAAAATATTTATAAAATATTATGAAACACTTCAAAATATTAGTGTTTTGATTCCACCACCGATTTGTTTCGATTTTCTTGAAAACAAAAACGTTTCATACATTTAGAAATAAAATTTTAATCTTTGAAGAAAGGTTAACAAAGATTTTATGATATTACCTAAGGGTAACACTAACCTAACCATACACTTAATTCATTGCGGTATTTACCAAAATACTGTTGCTAAGATCAAGCACCATCGGCGCACAAAGGTCCTCGCCCCCGAGGTACTTGTCATATAGGATCATGGCATTCAGTACGAGTTACAACCAACACGTAGCCTCGGTCTGATATGATACCTCGGTCGGTATACCTCCCTCGGTTCCGAGATGGTCTTTCCTCGGTGCCGAGAGGTACCCCGTCCTGGACGCTTCCTCTACTCCAGGATAAGCTATTGACGTACAGGTCATTAGCCTAGGCTAGTCTAGGCTATTCATCATGACCTCGTCTTACACAATTAGTGTCAGAACGTACTAGAATGCAGGGGCCACAGCCAATGGGGGATGGACGCGTGGCATATGATATCACATCGAAGACAGAGAAACCGCATGCCGTTGCTGACACGCGACTTGGGAAAGCAAACGATTAATTACACCATTCCCTTGACGAGACCGCATTCAATGCGGTAAGGCTCGGAAATGAAAGGCAATAAATGCTCCTAATACAGAGCATTTATTGCATCCTCCCCGAGAGGAGTACATTGTACCGTCGGCATCCTGATGACACAGCATTGATTGCTCGGGACCCCGAGCAGTTAAGAACAGAAGACATTCTTCATCAGAATCAGTGCGCACACTGCCTGTACCTAATGATCACCTACTGACTACACTGACAGCAATCATGAGCTTTTGAGATATAAATACTCCTTGCAAAAGGCAAGACGGGTATGCAACAACAAACTCTTTACGACAATACACACTCAGTGTTTTCTCCTTCCTCTCTCTTTCTCAAAAATTGACTAGATCGTCAGAGGGGATACGCCGGAAAACACTCCGGCGCCCTTCTAACTTGTTCTTTTTCGTTCTAGGAACCTCTTTCAGCCTTACTGGATCGTTCTTCCGCTCCCCCAGGGTCTCCCGTTGCCGTTCCAGGTTACCACCGGACCTCGCAGGCTGTTCCAAGCAGCGTGGTTGGTCACTCAACTGGCTCACTCGAGTTCACCAAGGGAGAGATCTGTTCTTGTTTTTTATATTGTGCAGGATCTTGCACGCACAATCTGACGCCGTCTGTGGGAAACGACTAGTTTTCCTAGTTTTTTCTCTATAAAGAACAGTGACCATGGTGAACACTCGACAGAAAGGGAAAGGCCCCCACCAAAGGAGTCTCGAGTTACAAGCTCCCTGTCATCACGGAGGAAGGGATCACACCGATATGAATAAAAGTGCCTCTACTCGGTCAAGATGGGTTACCCCTTAAACCAATATGGGAATCAGGTCAGGGGGATCAGCCCCCTTGGCCCGTCAGCTGGCGGAAGTGATTGAAGAAAAGTTTGGCAATAGATTACGACAGCTGGAAATGGACAATGTAAACGTCCTAAGCCGGCTCAACGAGTTTGCCGCCTCTGGCGAAGGGTCGAGGGATTCATTCCTTTCTCGTGGGCTTCCCGCCCGGGAGGCGGAAACGAAGGATCTAAGAAACCACCTAAACAACAAAGCAGAAAGCTCTAGGGCCCCAAAGCGACCCAGAGCCAGCGAGCATCATCATGACAACCATTCAAGGAAAGCAAGGCCATTGGCCCTGGACGACCTCCGGCGAGGTTTGTCTAGACGGAGGAAGGGAGATGAATCCGAGGAGGACTTAACCCAATCCACACGACGCCCAGGAAATGAGGGGCTTACCGATGAACTCAAGGACTTCAGAAGGCATCCCGTCAGGGAAGAAATTGATCTCAGAGCCCGGTTAGACTCCAGGAGAAAGGGTAAGGCTGTCCAGGATGAGGCCGAGGACGAAGTCATACAAACACCCTTTACGAGGGAGATCGGTGAGATGGAGGTTTCAAGAAAGTTTGTCGTGCCGCGGTTCAAAACTTATGACGGGCGGTCCGATCCCGAAGCCCATGTCAGGCAATACAAGCAGATGATGTCCCTCTATCATTCGGACCAATGGTTTCTCTGCCGAGTGTTTCCTATGAGCTTGGGGGACTCTGCGATGAAGTGATTCGAGGCACTTCCCCCCAACAGTATTGGGTCATGGAAGGAATTGACTAAGCAGTTACTGGCTCGATTCATTACGGGGAGTAAGCGCCCCAAAGACATTGGATCATTGCTGACCCTCAGACGGAGGGAATCCGAGACTCTTCGCCAGTACGCCATCCGATACTGGGAAGAGGTTAATGAGGTAGAAGGCTGCTCGGAGGTCATGGCAGCAGCATCTTTCCGGCTCGGCTTGGCAAGGGACACGGACCTGTATCGATCCCTGACCAAGAAGACCCCCTCGGATATGGGGGAACTAATGGCCCAGATAAACAAATACTCGAGGATTGAGGACGAGATGGGAAGCAGCAAAGGCCGAGCCCTCCAATCTAAGAGAAAAGAGAAGGAGCGGGAAGATATTCCCCGAAAGGGATTGCTACCCCCTCCAGGGGGTTCGTCCAAAGGAGTTCACACTGTGTTCAAGGAACCCATCTTCAAGTTGCTCCATAAAATCAAGCACGAGTCGTTCTTCAAATGGCCGCCCAAGATGCAGAGCGACCCCTCCACCCGTGATCAAAAGGTTAGGTGTTCCTATCACCGGGATTTCGGGCATCGCACCGAAAGCTGCAGGGTGTTCAAATCGTTCTTGGAAAGATTGGTCCGAGACGGATATTTGAAAGAGTACATAGAGCCCAGGCCAGAAGAGAGACAAGCCCTTGCCCCGACCGAGGAGCCGGACAACATCATAGATGTCATCCATATATGTCCCCTGGATCGCCCCACGTCCAAGGAACTCGAGTCCGACCTCAAAAGGGTAGCTTTTACGAGGAAGGTAGCCGAGGTTGATGTAGGGCCACCAAGTAAAAGGGTCAGGACGGGTGAGCTTGGCATTACATTCTCCGACGCGGATTTGACAGGCGTAGTGACTCCTCATAACGACGCCCTTGTCTTGACCCTGAGGATAGGAAAATTCGATGTCAAAAGGATTTTGATAGACTCTGGAAGTTCCTCGGAGGTGATGTACTCCGAAACTTTAAAACGGATGGGTCTTGGCCCCAAAGACCTCACCAAAGTCAGGACACCCCTCATCGGATTCAACGGCTCGTTCGCCCTGCCCGTGGGGAAAATCACATTGCCAGTTGTCACAGGTCCCTTTGTCATCGACACCGAGTTTTTCGTGATCGATACGGACTCTCCCTACAACGTGATTATGGGGCGAACATGACTGCATGCGTTGGGAGCGGTGCACTCCACTTTCTACCAGAAATTAAAATTCGCCACGCCAGAAGGTATCATGGAGATCCGGGGGGACCAAGCGTCCGCGAAAAATTATTTTTATTCAGCCGTTCGAGCCGGGGCGTTCAGTCAGGAGAAGGGGCGAGCACCGGAAGAGATTATGGAAAAATAGCAATCACAGTCCGGGCGTCCAGGAATGGATGACCCCCGGATAGACCCAACTGAGCTGTCGGTAGAAGACCTCCGGAAGGTACCCTTGGTGGAGGGAGAAGAAGAGAGGTATTTCTTAGTTGGGACCTCGATGCCCACGGCCGAACAGGAGGAGATGATCGAGTTCCTAAGGGGAAATACAGACGTGTTCGCGTGGAACGAAATTGAAATGACGGGGGTAGACCCCGAGATAATCACACACAGGCTGCATGTTGACCCGTTGCACAAGCCAGTCAAATAGAGGCCACGATGCATGGCCCCGCATCACACCAGCGCGGTCAACGAGGAAATCGACAAACTCCTGAAGGCCGACGCCATTCGAGAGATACAGTTCCCAGAATGGCTGTCTAACACGGTATGCGCAAAGAAGAAAGGGGAGAAATGGCGTGTCTGCGTAGACTTTACAGATCTAAACAAGACATGTCCCAAGGACGACTACCCCCTGCCAAAGGTGGACCAGCTGGTAGATGCCACTGCCGGATATGAACGAATGGACTTCCTGGATGCCCGAGCAGGATATCATCAGATCCCTCTCTATCCCCCGGATCAGGAAAAGACAACGTTTATCACTCCGAAGGGAGTTTACTGTTATAAAGTGATGCCGTTTGGACTAAAGAACACCGGGGTAACATACCAAAGACTGATGAATCGGATGTTCAAAAAGCAGATCGACAACACCATGGAGGTCTACATAGACGATATGCTGGTGAAGAG